ATGAATTCGAATAAAAATACAAATTTTATGTTTAGAATTTGACAAAACTGGTCCTGTCTCCTTGTTTTGTCAAGGAAATTTAAATAAAACAAAAAATAACCAAACTCTTGCAACTTTATTGATCATCAAAAGTGCATTTCTTCCGCTTTCAGCTCGACAAACTTCTCCGACTTTTCCCACAACTTCTTCGCGAGTCCCTTCACCTGTGTGGTCTTATACGGCTCAACCCTTTCACAATTATCGAAATGTTCGCCACTCAAATCCTCAATATTCCTCTCAARCGCGCAATAAATCGTAGTCTGAGCCCCTTCCTCGCTCGTCCGGAAAAAATGATCCCTGAAAAACTCAAAAACGGCCTTGTGTTGGCCCTTGATCCTTCGGAAAATTTCAGTATCCACGACTCCGGGATGGAGCGAAAACGTCGTCACGCTACTCCCTTGCAACTTCTCCGCCAACTCAATCGTGAATAAAATATTACAAAGCTTGCTGTTGGCATAATCCGTGTGGATTCCGGTGAATCTGTTCAAGTCTTCTAAATCGAATCGGGCGTATTTTGCGGCCAAGGAAGAGACGTTGACTATGCGACTGGGCCKGGATTTTTTCAACAAGTCGATGAGTAGGTTAGTGAGGAGGAAACTGGAGAAATAGTTGACTTGCATGAGGAGATTTAGACCGTCTTTGGATTTTTTGTCCGGAATTCCGGAAGCTCCGGCATTGTTGACTAGAATGTCTAAGCGACTTTCCGTCGCTTTCACCGTGTTTGCAAACGCCCGGACTGACTCAAAAGAGGCAAAATCCACGATTTTGACCACAATATTGCCATTTCCGGTTTCTTGGATTATCCGGGTTTTGGCGTGCTCGGCCTTTTGCGCGTCGCGGCATGCGAGGAGCACCCGAGCGCCCCTTTTGGCAAAGTCCAGGGCCGTTTCATACCCAATTCCTACAAAAAATTTAAAAAAAAATAAAAAAAATCAAAAAAAAACAAAAAAATTAAAATACGTACCTGTGTTTGCTCCGGTGACTATTGCAGTTTTGCCCACAAGACAAGTCTTGCTCCGGCACCAAACCGTGGATTTGAGGTAGTGCTTCAGAAGGCCGTAAATGGTCAAAATGACTCCACAAAAAATCCAAATTGGATGCATTTCGAGCCGAGATTAGCACACAATTGAAGTGTGTTCACCTACAAGCCATTGAAAATGAATCAGCAAGTACGTGACTATCACTAGTCGCCTAATTGTGCGACAAAAATTGAAATTTTATTACAATGATTTATTTAAAATTGCTTTTTGGGCCAAAATTGGGTCTCTCGGTTCATTTCCGTCGAAGTAAAGGCGACAAAAATTGGAAAAACTGTAATTGAAGTCATTTTGGCTCAATTGGTGTGACACATTTTGGTATTTTCTGCAGTTTCCCAAAGCGGAATTAATTATAGACAAATTGTTTTTTTTTGTTCGATTTTTATTAAACGAAACAATTAGAAATAGTTATTTACATTCGTGAGTGGCGTTTCAGGGCGAAATTAATTTGACACACAAAATTTGTAGTAAATTTTTGAAGTGAGGGCTTTTATTAATATATTGCGCTTTTTCAATACGAATCAAATAGTCAAAAAATTACACTAGTTTACAAATAATAATTTGTTTAATATACTTTTTTTGGTTCCTGCATAATCTTATTGTTTTTTTTTTTATAAAGACCAACAAAATCTTCCTTGACTGATCACAAATCCGGCTTTAATGACTTTGATCATTTTTTTAAACAATTATTTCTAGAAATGCAAAAGATTTTGCACATGGAAATTATAAAAAAACAAGAGTTACAATTTACAATTAAAATTTAAATATAGCCTAAAATATACCATGACATTAAAAAATTCTAAAATTGTCGCCTTATACTATATTAAAATCTAGTATTTTAATTTTTGAAATAAATAAATAAAAATTCTACAGTGCCCGCGGTTCTTCAAAACTCACCCTGTATACAGCTTCAGTTTCAAAATTTTTTCAGGTTTTTCTCAGAGACTTTTGACGAATTTTAAATGAGTTGCTGTTTTAAAATAATCCACGAAAATACAGTCGAAACTTAAAAAGTTTTGTTTACCTTTTTAAAAAACAACTTTTTATTGAGTCCAAAAAAAACTCATTTTAGAAATTTTTAGGGATTTAAGTGAGTAAAATAGCAATTTTTGGGAGCGTAGACAAAAAATTGAGAATTTGTCATTTTTTCTATCTGTGTATCGTATTAATCAATTTTACAATAATAAAAAAATAAATGTTTGTAGGAAGACAATTTTTTTCACCTTTTTTCCTTTCATTTTTTAAATAATTTTAAATGGTAGAATTTTTTATTGAAATAATCAAAATTTACTTTTTGAATTAACAAAAAAATCTCAGTATTTTTTTTTTGAAAATTTGTGCAAAACAAACGATGCTTGTGTGTTTTTGGTAAGATAAATATTTTAAAAGTAAACAATTTTTAGTCAATAAACTTTTTGTTTTCTGTAATTTTTTAGTTCATTAGCAAATTTGTATCGGAACATAAATAATAAAAACTCAGTTTATTCAGTAACACATTTATTTTAGGCACCAAACTGAAATTTCTCCTCCTCTTTCAGCTTGACCAACTCCTCGCTAACCCTCCACAACCTCTCCCCCACTGAGGCATCTCTCGCATTCGGATACGTCGCAACTTTGCGACACTCCTCAAAATGTTGTCCACTAAACTTCTCAATATTCCTCTCCACTGAACAGTAAATATTAGTTTGGGCCCCTTCTCCCGGCGTCTGGAACCCCCAAATCACTTTTTGACTTCACCTAAGCCACTCTTACCTTGGCAAAAAAAAATTTGATAATGGCAGAAACAAGTAAATTAAATCCGGTAAGGTGCCGGAAAATTTCAGTTTTTACGGCTCCGGGATGGAGTGAGTAGGTGGTAATTTGGGTGTTTTGCAATTTCCGGGCCAGTTGTTGCGTGAAGAGGATTATGCAGAGTTTAGTCCGGGAGTACATGTCAACATCTCCGTAGTAACTCCGGAGGTTGTCTGGGTTGAAAAAAAGGGCCGTTTTGGCCATAATTGAGGACACGTTGACGATTCGCCCAGGACCGGACTTTGACATCAAATCTAAAAAAAAGTGAGTTTTTCGCCCTCAAAATGCCAAAAACCCACCCAGAAGCAGATTTGTGAGGAGGAAAAGTGACAAGTAATTGACTTGCATCCCGAGATAAAACCCATCATGGGTCTTTTGGGTCCCTTCACAAGCCACAGCCGCGTTATTTACCAGAATATCTAACCGATTTTCCGTCTCATGGACACTTTTTGCGAATCCTCGAATTGACTCAAATGAGGCAAAGTCGACGATTTTCACAAAAATATTTTGGTTTTCGGACTCGGAGATGATTTTTTGGCGCGCAGTTTCGGCCTTTTTAGGGTCACGGCATGCCAAAATCACACGAGCCCCTCTTTTGGCAAAGTTGAGGGCTGTCTCAAACCCAATTCCTTCGAAAAAATTAGTTACATGGAGTTTGACCAAAAAAAAAAACAACCTGTGTTAGCTCCGGTGATTATGGTGGTCTTCCCAATAAGGCATTTGGGGCTTCGGCACCACTTGGTCCTCAATTTTAGGTAAATTTTGAGGATTAGAGGAGTTGTTAATAAGGCACACAATACGGCATAATAAATCATTTTGCACTGGAAGAAATTTTGGTAGTGAAAAAAACGGTAAAACTAATCATACGTGCTTGAAACGAATCAAGGAACGGGATAATGAGAAAAACTGGTTGATTTAATGCACAATTTATTCATCTGAATATAAACAAGGTCACAATAAATTATTTGAAAAATTTGTAATTGTATTTCATTTGGTTGCAAATAGATTTTCCCACAATTTTTTTTGCAAGGTTTGGATTTCTTGCTGCTTTGTATGTTCGACTCTTTTATTGTACTCTTGGCCCCTAAGCAATGAATTGGGATTATTCTAGGGATTTTATGATCGTAAGAATTTTCTTTCAAAATTCTTTATAACAAAGAAAAAAATTAATTGCATAAATTTTGAAAAATCGGAGAATCGACAGTTTTAATTAAACAAAAAAACACCGTACATTCTTCACAAATCGAAAAATCGAACAGAATCCTAGCAAATACGATTTTTGCAAACTCGAAAAAATAAGTGCATAAAATTGAGATTCTTCTAGGGATTTTAAGATTTTGAGATTTTTTTTCAAAATAATAATTTAATTGCATAAATTTTGAAAAAAATCGGAGAATCGACAGTTTTAAAATCGGTCCAAATACGATTTTTGTACTTCTAAGGATTCTATAAAAATTTTTGAAAAATTTTTATTCAAAATACTTGATAACAAAAAAAAAATAGCATACATTTTGAAAATATTGGAAAACAAAATCGAACCAATTACAACTTGTTGCGTCTCTAGGAGTTCTATAAACTTGAAAAAAATACATGAAACGTTGTTAGGTCAAGTTCAAATTTTTAGAGACCAAAATAAAAACACTAATAAGAAATTAAATTTTTTTTTCAAATTTTTTTATTAAAAACAATAAAATTGTATAAATATTGAAAACTCGGAAAATGGAAACTTTCAAAATACGATATTTCCCACTTCTAAAAATTCTATACACATAAAAAAAATGCCTAAAACATTGTTGGATCAAGGTAATAACACTAATAAAAGATAAAAATATTTTTTCCAAAATTCCTTATTAAAAGCAAAAAACACCGTACATTCTTCACAAATCTAAAAATCGAACGTTTTAGAATCCTACCAAATACGATTTTTGCAAACTCGAAACTGACTATTTTTGCCTATTTTACCTATTTTTGCCTATTTTGCCTAAAACTAAAAACTGCACAAAACACAAAAATAACGTCAAAATCAATTTAAAAAAAAAATGGGATAATGAGAAAAATTGGTTGGTTTAATGCACTATTTGTTCATCTAAACCTAAACAAAGTTACAATAAATTATTTGAAAAATTTACAATTGTATTTCAATTATAGGCCTAAAACCATATTTTATAATATCGTGTAGGTTTCAACTTAATATGATGTCAAAAAACTCCAAAAAGGTGCACAAAAAACAAAAAATTACGTCAAAACAAATACAATCATTTTTCACTATTAATTTAGTGAAATCATCACAAATTTTATTAAAAAATGGAACAACGGGAAAAATGGTTATTTAATGCACTATTTATTCATATAAACCTAAAAAAAAATACAATTGTGTTTCATTTGGTTGCAAATCAACGATTTGCTCTGATTTTAACCACAATTTTTTTGCAAGGCCTGGATTTCTTGCTGTTTTGTAAGCTTTAACTCTTTTACAGTCGGAAAAATGCTCCCCATTGTACTCTTCTATTCCTTTTGCCACTGAACAGTAAATCGTAGTTTGGGCCCCCTCCACAACCGTCTGAAAAACCCCACTAAAACTCCCATTTTCATGAGCAAAGCCTCACCTTGGAGAAAAACTTCATCAAAAAACTGAACCTGATTTTCAGAAGCCCTGAAGTATTGTTAACAATTTAATTTTGAGTAAAAAAAATGTTACACAATTTGCAAATTTTTGACTTTTTTTCAAGTGAGTATTACGAGAAAACTATAAAAATTATAGGCATAAAACCAAATTTTATAATATCGTGTAGGTTTCAACTTAATATAATGTCAAAAAACTCCAAAAAGGTGCACAAAACACAAAAAATAACGTCAAAACAAATACAATCATTTTTCACTATTAAATCATCACAAATTTTATTACAAAATGGAATAACGAGAAAAATTCATTTAATGCACTGTTTATTCATCTAAACCTAAACAAGGTTACAATAAATTACTTGAAAAATTTATAATTGTGTTTCATTTGGTTGCAAATGAACGATTTGCTCAGATTTTTCCCACAATTTTTTTGCAAGGCCTGGATTTCTTGCTGTTTTGTAAGCTTTGACTCTTTTACAGTCGGAAAAATGCTCCCCATTGCACTCTTCTATTCCTTTTGCCACTGAGCAGTGAATCGTAGTTTGGGCCCCTTCCTCAACCGTCTGAAAAACCCCACTAAAACCCCCATTTTCATGAGCAAAGACTCACCTTGGAGAAAAACTTCATCAAAAAACTGAACCCGATTTTCAGAAGCCCTGAAGTGTTGTTAACAATCTCAGTCTTGACAACTCCCGGATGCAGCGAATAGGCCGTAACTCCGCTTCCTTCCAGTTTCTTTGCTAACTCTTGAGTGAACAAAATATTGCACAATTTCGAATTGTAGTAATCGGTCATCACCGAAGTGTGTTTGGCGATTTGGTCCAAATCGAGGTTTTTGGCCCCTTCTGCCGCCAACGACGACACATTGATAACACGACTGGGGGCCGACTTCTTCAGCAGATTTACCAGCAAGTTGGTGAGGAGGAAGCCGGAAAAGTGGTTGATTTGGATGACCAAGGAGAGGCCATCTCTACTGGTGTCATCCCCGATTCCTATAACTCCAGCATTGTTGACCAAAATGTCTAAACGATTTTCAGTCTCGTTGATTTCTTTGGCGAAGGCTCGGACCGAGTCAAAGGAGGCCAAGTCGACGATTTTGACAACTATGTTGTCATTTCCGGTCTCGGAAATGATTTTTGAACGGGCTTCTTCCGCTTTGGACTTGTTGCGACAAGCTAGAATGACTCGAGCGCCTCTTTTGGCGAAATCTAGAGCTGTTTCGTACCCAATACCTATTTTTTGAGGGATTTTGGAATTCAAATAACATTTTTTAAGGAGTTTTAGGAACTTACCGGTGTTTGACCCAGTGATTATGGCAGTTTTGCCAACCAAACAAGTGTGACTTCTGCACCTGCCTGTAGTCAATTTTAAATAAATTTTAACTACTGCAAAGATGCTAAAAAGAATTAAAATTGCAGTTAAAAACACCATTTTGTGCGATAACTATTTTCAAGCTTAGTAAATGTCAAAATATGTCACACCACATGTGTAGAGTACTAGAAACTAATACGATAACTGCTGATAACAGGCGATAATGTAATAATACCGTGTGAACAAAAAAAATTGTGTGGAAATTTTCCACACAAATTGAAAGTAAAAATTACCATTCCCCATTTTCGTCTTGTACAGTTACGGAATTAAAATTTCGGGCAGTTTTTATCTGTCACTTCAAAAAGTTTACTGTAACTGTCATCATGACAGACATTTGACAATTAAACTTTTGAAAGTAAATAGGCAAGTCAAAATGACATAACCATGCCAAAAATGAGGTTATTAATGTAAAGGTTGTTTTAGAGCTTACATTATGAAAATGACAATAGTACCTATACTCGTTTTCATATTAATCAAAGTGGTCGATGAAAGATATCATTTTAAGATGGCAACCATGCAAAAATTCAAACAATCCTAACTTCAATCTTCCTTAAAAATTATTTTCTCAAATAAATATGTGTGCCGCAGGTAGCAAGAAATAATTAGAATTAACAACGTAATTAACATAGGGTAGCTTACATAAAAGATTTTTTTTACTCCCACATCTAAAACACGGATTATCGTATATGTTTCCATGACGCTAAGTGACCTTTTATGCACACCTTAGCAAGCCGTGACTTTTATGCGTATTAGTCACGTTGCTAATAGCAACTGTCATATTAGTCACGGGCTGAAGTTAGCTTTTAATTTTTCGAGTGTTAACCGGGCTTTGAATCTTGACGTTTTTACTGAAAATGTAAGTGCGATAGATTTAGAATCTGTTTATGTAATTTAAATTACAAATAATATTAGTTGTAAAGGGTTTAGTCCCTAGATTATTTAAAAAAAATGAAAAAAATCTTTTTTTCCCTTTTTGTTAGAAAAATCCCTAGAACTAGGAAAAAATTCCCTAATTCGGTATCACTGTGGTCAACTATCAACGCAACGGAACCAACAAGTAAAAATTCGTTTCAAGACGGACGTTTTAAAAATGGCTAAAAAAATTTTTTTTTGAGAGCGCTGCAAAATGATGATCTCCTAAGTTCGCCTGAAAGTAGCGTTTCCTAGGAAATTAAATAAAAAAATTACTAATTACTGTCACTAATAAACTGAAAACACATAATTTCCAATAACTTACTCGTATTAAAATTTATTTTTCAAAAAATATCAATAATAAAAAACAAATTCTTGGTTGAGAAAGAGTACTCTCTACTTGTATATTTTATTATATTTATTATATTTTCTTATATTGAATAAAAGTATGTAAATCTCGCGTATCTTTTATGGGCTTCGCTCGACTAAAACGATCATTTAAAAAATCGCAATGTCTTTCAATGTGGCGATTAAATATACAGGGACATTTTTTTATTAGTATACATGGCCCTCTGTACACAGTCAAAAAAAACCGGGTCAATTTCATAGGGTCATTTTATATTTTTGCCTCTATCAGAGATTTTCTCGGTAATCGCAAGGCGATGATCTTTTTTTTATTAAATAGGAAATTACAAGTGAAGTGTCTTCCAATGTCACTAAACATAGAAAGTTACGTCTCATAGTTTGGAAATTATTAGAAAATATCAGCTTTAGTTCCTAAAATCGTCTAAAATTTTGAAAAAAATTAAAAAAAAATTTAAATCAGTTTCAAAATCAGATTAAATCCGATTTTCTGCATTTTTGTAAATTCTATGAACTTGAGAAATTTTCTCAAAATACTTTAGAACACACAAAAAAAAATTGCATAGGTACATTTTAAAAAAAATTGGAGAATAAAATCGGACCAATTACGATTTTTGGCACATATAAACTTAAAAAAATACATAAAACGTTGTTAGGTCAAGTTCGAATATTTAGGGAGCAAAATAATGACACTAATAAAAGATTAAAAAAAAATTTTTTTTTAATT